CAGGCTTGAGATTAGTACAGTTGGGTTTCAATTTCGTTATTGAACGTGAATTTTTTTGAATCTTTAAGAAAAGAGCACTGTTATCACTGCGACACGTGGAAAAAATACATACGTCATGTGTTGAAAATAACAGAAAAATTAGTATTTTTGTAAGAGTTTATGTGTATGTCGTTTTATCGTATTTTTACAGTTTTAAATTCTTCAAGAACCCCATCTAATGAAAATTATACATGTGAAATTAAAGCTAAACAATAACGTTATATATTTATTTATTTCATGAAAATCTGGTTGACAATAAATTTAACAAAAATAAACTATTTTGTTATTTTTCAGAATTTACAGTGCATACTGGAAAGACAATAAAGGTAATGAAAAACGACACTTAATCTCCGATAATGAACACAAGGTAATAAAAAACGGCACTTAATCTCAGATAATCATAAAAAGGTAATAAAAAACGACACTTAATCTCAGATAATGATAAAAAGGTAATGAAAAACGACCCTCAATCTCAGATAATGATAAAAAGGTAATGAGAAACGACACTTAATCTCAGTTAACGATAAAAAGGTAATGAAAAACGATCATTATTTTTAGATAATGGTAAAAAGGTAATGAAAAACGATCCATAATCTCAGATAATGACAAAAAACATTTTATTTCAGCCAACGTTTTCCCATTGCAGTTTCATCAGGGCTAGGAATACAATAATAGTTTGTGTACTATTAGCCCTGATGAAACCGCAATGGCGAAACTTTGGCTGAAATAAAATTTTTATCTTTGTTATCTAGAGTTTTGTTTGTTTGTAATTAAGCATAAAGCTACACAATGGGCTCTGCCCACCACGGGTATCGAGACTCGGTTTCTAGCGTTGTAAGTCCGCAGACATCCCGCTGTGCCACTGGGGGGCGTTATCTAGAGAATAAAGGTCGTTTTTTTTTCACTAACTTTATTACTAAAACAGATAAAAATAACATATAGCGCTGTAAGTTAGAGGATGCAATTAATGAAATGATAGAGTTTCACCTGATTTTCCAGGTTATAGAAAAGTATTCTTACGTTTTACTGTAAACGTTAGCCTATAGGTAAACGTTAGCCTATATCCTATAAACCTACTGTAGAGTTTTTCCTTTACAATTAATGAAATGATAGAGTTTCACCTGATTTTCCAGGTTCTAGAAAAGTATTCTTACGTTTTACTGTCTACATTCGTTCAATAATTGGTAGAAAGGTAAACGTTAGCCTATATCATATAAACCTACTGTAGAGTTTTTCCTTTCAACTTGATTAATCATGATTAATTATAACGTAGATATACTAACATGCAATCTCTTTTAAAATTACACATTTTTACTTTGGACAAATCTCGGAGTGGATTCAAGAAAGAGCGCTAGACAACATAGACTAATTTGAAGACATTATTTATAATATTTCAGTGTAAAATTAAAAATGTTATTTTAATTACAAACGACTTATTTTAGTGTGGATATAAATTTATCTTGTTGTTTCTTGACAAAAAAAAAAGATGGCGGAGAAGGACTGCATTGTTTTTTCTTTATAAACAATAAATCATAACATCTTCAACGAAACCAATTTAGACAACTAAACTGTGATTAAAAATTCAACAAATCAACTATCCGTTGAGGGGAAGAGAAGAGTTTCTTATTTATGAGTTTACCATAAGCTGTGTCTCTGTGAAACGACAGCTGTGACAATACCAGCGTTCATCTGGCTTGTACGGGTCGCGGGTTCGAATCCCCGTCATACCAAACATGCTCGCCCTTTCAGCCGTGGGGGCATTATAATGTGACGGTCAATCCCACTATTTGTTGGTAAAAAGAGTAGCCCAAGAGTTGGCGGTGGGTGGTGATGACTAGCTGCCTTCCCTCTAGTCTTACACTGCTAAATTAGGGACGGCTAACGCAGATAGTCCTCGTGTAGCTTTGCGCGAAATTCAAAAAACAAACAAACAAACCATCTGGCTTGTACACACTTATTCGGAACACTAATCATTATATTATCTTCTTCTAATATTCGGATACTCAGTCTCTACATGCCCTCATGAAAAGATTACTGTAGTATTTCGTAGTTAAATCAGTGTTAACAGTATGACGGAATGTTTATCGTTTGGGATTCTAGAGTTTAAATATTTGCTCTTACGTTATCGAAAAGTTTCGGAATCTTCATCTCCTATAATACTGGCTTAAAAGGAGTTTCGTATTTTACAATGTATTTGTGCTTCTTTATAGCAACCCGTTAAAATATTGGACAGAAATATCAAATAGGTTTTACAGTTTTACTAAAACACTGAGCCAAGCGGATCGCTAACACCAAACCCTGAGCGTTAATCGAATTTACATTTATAAAATACTTTATGTATTTATAGCGAAGAAACAGGCCTCAAACACCAGAGTTTGTAGCACCTGTGAGCATAATTAAACTATTAATATAGTTTGTGTTAGGAAGAATGATGGCGGTTGTTAATATAATTTGTGTTAGGAAGAATGATGGCGGTTGTTAATATAATTTGTGTTAGGAGAAGTGATGGTAGTTACTGATATAGATTGTCTTAGGAAGGTTGTTTTACATAAATAAAACATACTGTACTATATAACTATTTTATAGTTCTTTAACTATTTAACTATATAACTATTTTACATACTATATAACTATTATATAGTTTTGTTAATAGGAGATATGGTAGTTATTGATATAATTTGTGCTAACAGGAATGATGACAATTGTTGATATAGTTCGTGTTAACAGGAGTGATGACAATTGTTGATATAGTTCGTGTTAATAGGAATGATGGCAGTTATTGATATAATTTGTATTAATAGGAATGATGGCAGTTATTGATATAGTTCGTGTTAATAGGAATGATGGCAGTTATTGATATAGTTCGTGTCAATAGGAATGATGGCAGTTATTGATATAGTTCGTGTTAGTAGGAATGATGGCAGTTATTGATATAGTTCGTGTTAATAGGAATGATGGCAGTTATTGATATAGTTCGTGTTAATAGGAATGATGGCAGTTATTGATATAGTTTGTGATTTGACATAAAATGGCACAGGTGTATTAAAGAAGTAAAGCCAAACTTTTAATAGTATATAATAAATATTTAAAAATGAGACTATCCTCACTCTCAAAATACATTAAAACTGTTCTACTTAATAGTCTTACTGTGTAAAAATAATATACAAAATTGTGAGGCTGGAGACAACTCATGTTATTTTATTTATCTTCATACAGTAAAATTAATTTTTCTTGTATTTTGAAAGTGGGGACAGTCTCAGTTTTAGATATTTATTGTGTAAAACGTTGGTTTTACTTCAATACATTTGTGTGAAAACTTACACTGATTTAAAGTGGTTCAGAATCATAAAGGTCCATGCGATTCATTCAGTTTACTGAGAGCGACGAGTATGTAAGCCAGAGATGATTGGAATCATAAGTATTGATCTTTACCGAATCTCATTCTGTGGAATATTCACTCACTGTATTGTTAACAGAACATGTAACTTTGATATTCCGTTAATTATTCTGCCAGTAATGAATACTATGTACTATGGAATATTGTTGTGTGTGATAATTTAAAAAATCTACTGGTGAATCTGCCACATGAAGATTTTTTGTTAGGGAATTATCTCCTGTTGAAATATAATAAACATATTAAGTTGACGAGCATGAACCTTCTGGCACTAGACTGGAGTTTATGTGGCTAACTTTTATACAACGCTTTAACTGTCATAGGCACGTATGTAGGACGTACTATAAAACCTATTTGTTAGCCTTCAAAAATATGATATTAGTCATATGTGAGTTTGAAATATAGCACCACCACGATGAAAGACCATTCCTCTTCAAACTTTTTAAAATTTACAAGTTTCAAATAAGTAATGAAATATTAAAACACGTATTTTGTTTTATCGTGGGGGGGGGGTTTACCTATAAACGTAGCAGTGAAATAGTTAAAATAAATGTGCTGTTAAGATATTTCTTGTTTTACGTGCATAATTTTCAATAAAATACGTTTTTAACAGTCTTTTCATTACGCTATTAAAGGTCATTTACAAGTGGCCAAATAAGTTTAAGGGACTGAAAAAGCAACAATAACAAAAATGAATGGATATATCTGACAAAAGTCAAAAGTAACCAAATAACATTACGCTTAATTTGTTTATTGCGCATGTCAAATCAGAAGTGTGTAAAATCATTATCTCATCATCCAAACTAGCTGACGATTAGAGGTATTGAACGAAAGTATCAGGATGGTCAGATTCTAATGTTTTGTCTACTTTCGACATTTAAACCACATCTTTTAACACTAGTTTGTTGAAATAAATGAGAGGATTTTGTAAGTGCGTCGTTACAGGAACCTTAGCTGGGAATTATTTGATTCGGAAAGTTATTAGCTAGGCGTACAATTTAAAACGATGTATGTAAGAGGGCTTGACCATACCATAATTTCCTATCACTGCTTATCATTACGTAAACATACATAAAGCAGTCTTCGAACTTACGCTTATGTGTTCCTCATATCTTCTCGTGTGGTCAGCTATGTAATGTACCGAATCCATTGCTCTTTCAAATTCTGGACAGAAATGTAATAGTTTTGGTCCTGAACATCCTTCATGTTCCTGCATCGTGGCTTGTTCGGACGTCATCGGAGTGGACATTGCCTCATGCGAGTGTCCACTGTTACCATGAATTCTACACGCCGGGTAGTTCATCTCGGACCCGTATTCGGCATCAAAGCTTTGTCTTCTACTGTATGGCTCGTTTTGAGAGTTGTAATCTTTGAGTTCTGTGCCATTGCAAGTGCGAACCATCACCTTCCGAGGCTCAGAAGCGGTATCCGAGGGTCTGCGCATGAGCAGAAGACGGGGTAACATCTGCATGAAGACGCGCTTCACCCAGGGGTTCATGCGATGAGTGGTACTGGTGCGAAAATGGACATTGAGTACCACAACCGTCACTATTATAGAAAGGGTTACGAGTATCATAGTGAACAGTAAGTACTTGCCTAACAATGGGACAGTGAGTGAAGTTGGAGGAATGATTTCTGCCAGCAGGAGGAAGAACAGTGTCAGAGCCAACAGGATGGAAATACTCAGTGTAACCTTCTGACCGCTGTCCGAAGGAAGATAGAACACTAATACTGTAAGGAACGAAATCCCCATGCAGGGAATGATCAGGTTGACAGTGTAGAATAATGTCTTCCGCCGCATGCTGATGTTAAAGGTGATGTCAATGTAAGGTTCCTCACAGCAGGTGTAATACTTCTCATTTCGAACAGCAGGGACCTCCAGAACGTCCCACTCCACACTCAAATAGAAGTCGCTGAGATCGATTCCAATTTCCACAAGGTTAGTTCCAGGAACCTCTTCATCGTGTCGGAGGTCCACCTAGAAAGTCAAAAAATTTAATTTAACTCGATTGCGAAAGTACAAAAGTATCTCAAAATATGCAAGAAATATTTAAATAAAACAACACATTTAATTTCAAATGATGAGTTTCATTCACAACAGTCAACTTTTAGAAAGCGTTTATATTATGCTTCCAATGGACAACGAAACGGTTAGGTATGGTCATAATTAAACTTCTAGTGAGCAACGAAACCGTTTTTAGTTTCCAAAAATATTTCTAATTAATGGTGTATTATTTATAACATTATATATTCGATTTTTTCGATCTCTGAGGTGAGAGAAAATTATTTGTTTTAGAGCCCTTGTGTAGCTTCCAAATTAGGAACGGTTAGCGCAAGTAACCCTTGTGTAGCTTCAAAATTAGGAACGGTTAGCGCAAGTAGCCCTTGTGTAGCTTCAAAATTAGGGACGGTTAGCGGAAGTAGCCCTTGTGTAGCTTCAAAATTAGGGACGGTTAGCGCAAGTAGCTCTGTAGGTTTGCATCAAAACTACTTGCGCTAACCGTCCCTAATTTTGAACTGATCAACTAGAAAAACGGCGCCTAATCAACAGCACACACCACCAGCTCTTGGGCTACTCTAATCAAATAGTGGGATTTGACCGTCACTCTTATAACACACTCAAGCCCTCAAAGTGCACAGCTAATTACGAAGTATTTAGAGGTTTTTCTTAACAAAGAATACCATAGAGTCAGTTCAGAAGTAAGCCAACCAATCGCATTATTTCTCCTTTTCAAGTAAATATTCCGCAGTCACTTACGATTCAAAGTGTATGATTAAGAAGATTACAACGAGCCTTAAAAAATGTTTAGTTTCATTACCTACTCCCCGGAGGTTGAACCAATATTTGGCCAGTTTCGATAATTTTTCTCTAGATTTATCGGTATTTTTTGTGCCACGTACTGCATAAAGTATAAATTTGTTAATAAACGACATTTCCAAAATGTGCCAGTGTCTTATGTTTATTATTACTACAAATTTACGACATAATTTTCAATGTGTTTTCCGTTAAAATGATATTCAGGATTAATTAAAAACGAGAATCAATGAAAAGCACTGGAATTTCTTAAATAAAATTTTATTAACACAAAATTAATGTTAATACAAAGAGGAAAATGCACTAGTGGGGGAGGGGGAATGAAAAAGTGATCTCAGTTGAAAGAAAGGGGTTTTAAAAACAACGAGATAAGAAACTGAAAATATGTCAATACAATTCAAGAACAACACCTGTTACGACGTGTTCAAAAGACCATATTTAGTATTTCAAGATTATAAATAATTTTACTAGGGGGGGTCAAAGCCTCTGAGTGCGGGGGTTGCATCCCCCTCCCCACACATTGCATGAGGCCATGAAATGCAGGTATTCTGAACGTAAGTTGAAGAATGAAAACATATCGTCAGTATTTGCAAAATGCTCACGAACCTTTCCTGTATAATATTTGGTTGAAGTAAAGCTCAAAGCTACACAATGGGCTATCTGTGCTCTGCCCACTAATGGTATCGAAAACCTGCTTCTAGCGCTGTAAGTCCGCTGACATACCGCTGTGCCACTGGGGGCGTATAATATTCAAAGCACAAGACTCTTCACTTTGAAAATATTATGTTTTATTGTATTCATTGGCCAATCATTATCGGCTAGTAATACTCCTACTGTGCTAAGAACGGCTTGACGGAGTATCTTTCTGGTGTTGAATCTTCTACGACATTCACTTACTTAGATATGTGAGGGTTTATAAAAGTTCGGTCACTGTGTCGATGGGCCGGATGTGATATTAGTGTTAGCGTGCCTGTAATGTAAATTTAAGGTTATGGTTTGCGTCTCGTTGCCAAAAAATGCCCTAGTTGCACTACAAGAGTGACAGTCAAATCCTACTATTCGTTCAGACGATAATAGTCAAAACGTTAGCGGTGGATGCTGTTGGGTAGCTGCCTTTTTTCTGGTCTATCGGCTCAAAATTAAAAACCGTTATGCGCAGGTAGTCATTGTGGAGCTTAACGCGAAAACTCTAAACAAAAAATATCGCTTTGCATAAAATATTAAAAACTATAAAATTCTTTTATTGATTTATGCTTCTCCAAAATCTAAAGATTTGTTATGTGTTATTGTAATCCGATAAAAACCAGAAAGTAGAACAACCTACACCACAACATGCACTTCTCTCCAGACGTGGCATAAATGTAAAGTTAGGTCAACATGCACTATTCAACTAGGTAGGAAAGTCATTAAAAATAAACTCATTGATTTACTGTAAATGACGTATAAAGTCATCGAGTTTCTGTTCGATTAACTTAGAATCTACTGAGCTTGTGATAATGTAATTTTAAACATAATAGTCTAAGACAAAGATATTTCTTTTCAACACGCGACTTTCTTAAACTCTTTCTATATTCGCAACAGAACGGTTAAAAAGTCTTATCGATTAATATAATTTAGTTTGTTTAGAATAGTTTAATATTGATCGTGCATTTTATCATATAAGCTGGTTGAAAGTTCAGATAAAGCTCTAATCCTTTATCACGTGGACTACACGTGCAGGTCAGAGACCCCTAATCTTCAGGTCTCTAAATTGTGAACTCTGACCATAAGGAGGGCAAACAGTTAATGGCGTACACTGTCTACAACGACTGGTTTTAAACAAATAGCCGGAATGATTATCACTTTTATTACGCGCCCGCAACTGAAAGTGTGGGGTGTGTTCAACGGCATCATGGTCCCCTGTCACAATAAATTTCCTCCCTGAAAAGGACAATCCCGCCCCACCTCCCAAAATATATTAAAAATTATCTACTATTATCCAGACATTAAGTACTTAGTTTAACAGTTTGTTCAGTCCTTGTATGAATTTGTATTCAGCATAACATAGTACAACCTAGTAAAAGTGTTTTTCTAACTGCATAGTTCTGTCATACACATAAACATACTTTACAGGGGGTTTCTAAAACTACACATTACGCCATATCACCGGAGAGAAAGAACTTTAGGTTATCTCAATAAAATTCTCAGAAACCATTTCGGCTTCGTTTGTATTTTGTCCCAATTTATTTTATTTCGTAACAACTTTTGAAAAAATTGACCACGTCCTTCGCTAGCCCTCTAACGATCGTCTTCGAACAACTGAAGCCTCTCGTAGGTCGGTGACTGTACTAAGTTTCAAGTTAAGTGCGTCTAGTTAAGTTATCCTAAGAGTTTAATTGAAGTTCCAATTAGATTTACTTAGAGGATTAAATTAAGTCAAAATTTATCCTCTCAAGAGTTTTAGAAGATCGCGCTTGTTAGCGGACAAAATATCTCATCGTCTAAGCGGCATCATTATCATCCAGTAGAAAACGATAAAACATTTAGTTGTGAAGTAAATTTTATAATAGGTTACCTTAAATCCGTCGTAGGTCCAAGAACCAAACTTCATCACGCAAGTTTGCTCGTCGAATGGAAAGTACTCCACGTCAATAATGCACGAGCTTTTGTATATGGCGGGAGGCTTCCACTCAATGAACCCTTGGAAATTAACCATAGCTTTGGTGGCTAGAGTAACTTCAAAGTTTCCGTCGGCACTACAAAGAAGAAGGAAATTTCCTCTTTGATTCCACATGGTAATGCTTAGAAAATGCCTAGAAATTCGAAACTGCGGGTAATATAACCCATGTAAGGTTGTTATTGGTTACTTCTGCGGGTAATATAACTCATGTAAGGTTGTTATTGGTTACTTCTGCGGGTAATATAACACATGTAAGGTTGTTATTGGTTACTTCTGCGGGTAATATAACACATGTAAGATTGTTATTGGTAACCAATAACAACCTTACATGTGTTATATTACCCGCAGAAGTAACTTCTGCGGGTAATATAACACATGTAAGGTTGTTATTGGTTACCTCTGCGGGTAATATAACCCATGTAAGGTTGTTATTGGTTACTTCTGCGGGTAATATAACCCATGTAAGGTTGTTACTGTTAGGTACTTTTCAAGAAGCTCTTTTATCCTCTCTTGATATTTCAAAATGTGAGAACAACAACAACAATAACAAAAAAACACACACACACAGTAAATGGAACCAACTGTCAGAAGTCTTGATATTGGAGAAACTAGTTTTCTTTACATCCTGGCCATCAAATCTATTGGAAATCAAAAAGAATTATATTCCAAACAGATAACTACATCAAAAGAAGAAGCGTCAAAAGTTGTTTGATTAAAATCCTGGCGAATTTCAACACCTTTCAAGGTCACTTGAAACTTAACAACTTCCTAACTTCGTGTGTTCTTAAGATAATATAAAGGCCCGAGGTCACTTAGGCGTCGTTGACCAGTTTTCTTGACAGAAGACAACGTGAGACTGAAGAGGACACATGAACTAGTTTCTCCGATATCAAGACTTCTGGCAGTTTGTTCGGTTTACTGTGTTTTGTTCACTAACTGCTACACCAAGATTTTGTTATTTTATAATTCCTCAACATGCTTCTTTCTTTTGATGACATGAAATTCCTCTTATGCCCTAATGCCACATGTTCGTTAAAATCCAAACTCTGTTAATATTTAATTTTCATGGTCGGAAAATAAGTAACAATTCAGAAATTCGAACAATTTCTCTTGTTTGTGTGAGTAAAACTAAATAAAAAAACTTCATATAAAATACTTGAAAATTTGTTTTCACCCGATGCTAAGTTGAGTGAGTAAGTTTTACGACGAATTTAAGTAAAAATATAAAAAATATTTCGAAAACACGAACAATTATTTCTTTTATTTTCGGGTCATATTTCACTTATTTGACTATAAAATGCATATATTTACCAAAAAAAATAAAGGTTTTAGGGCGTGCTTGGAACGTCATTGTCTGCTTCTTGTACAAGACAATATCATGTTTTCAAATATAACTAGAAGGAACCTATACCATTACCACCTACCATATTCTGTTAGACTCCATCATTTTTTAAATTCTTCGACAATTATGATTTTTAGAAATATGTTCGGTGAGTATGTTGTTAGATATAATGTACAATATATATTTGACAAAAAATGTTCCATAATATGTTTAGTATATTATCACCCACTTGTTATATAAAACAATGTCAGGTTTCCAGATATGGTCCGAAGGCACGTGGAGCATGTCCACCCCGCCATATTCTCTCGGGTCCCAGCGAAGTTTGTAATCCTCCCAGAACTAGAAAGGAAGTAGCAACGAATTAAGTGGACGAACTTATTTACGTTTTGAGGTAGTACTAATGTGAAAGATCCACCCCGGAAAATAACAATCTGCTTGGTGGTAAGTTTACGGACTTATAGAGCTAAAATAACACAGAAATAAAAAAAACGTAGAAACATACGTTTTCTTAAAACCAATTTGGGCTCACATATTTCTAGTAAGGAAATGAAATTTTGAACCAGAACAGCACGTGTAGGTTGAACGGCCAAGTCAGAGACCTCTAGAGTTATTTTTTGCTTAAGAAGTTGGCTTTTGTAACTAATATTGTTTGTGTGAAATCTTATTGTATACTAGTGACAAACTAAAGGGCATAAAAGTTAATGTATTCATAGTCCACCAGGTGTCTAAATAGTGTCAAGTGTCTAATCAATTCACTAATTTTGAAAAGAAATATTAACTTATATTTAAAATAAGCTTTATAATTATTATTTATGAGGAAGTAAAATAATTATACAGCGCCACTTTTATACGGCAACTGCATAAATTAAATATTTCGTCGTTATTCTGTTTCTGAACACTTGGTGGTGTATATGTAACTATCCGATCAAAATATCTTACATGTACAGAAAACAGCATAGTTAGAAGAACGAGGTCAGCCGTGTAATATAAAAACGAAAAGAGTCCAGTTACATAAAAGGAAAAATCCTGTAAAGATACAGTGTAAAAGTAAGCAAGTAAAACGAGAAAGAACTTGGGAATATTTGGCGCTCTTTTTTTAATGTAACTCGAACAGGTAGAAACATGAATTAAAAACACCACTTGTTTCAGTTGCGTGGGTTATACACACAGACTAAAACTTTTAGTTGTTCAAGTGATATTGTAAAGAGCTGTAGTATGTACGTATAGCTGAACAGATTCAGTATGTATCCTACTCTGACTTGTAAATATAGCATTAAAGATATAATAAAGATATGAATCATCTATTAATACCTACATTTAGTTATCAGATATTCGTAGTTTTAATTAAAACGGAGAATACTATAACGTAGTCATAGAATCAAATTACACCTAGTGATCACCACAGTTATCTCTAATATTGCCTTTATTTCCTAAGTAAAGTCAGTTATATGCTATGTGAAACTTTAACTCGATGTACTGGAAATCCCCCATATTTGCTACGTGAGCGTTTGAGTGTATGGTAAGTAAAACTCCGCGTTGATTTTGTGGGAAAGTTTGAGTGTATGTTATATGATTTATTTTTATTCTGTTGTATGTAAAATGCTCAGGCTATATTATGTGGAACTGTGAATACAAATTGCATCGAACTTGGAGATATTGCTTACTTATACGTTGAGTGTATGTATATATGTAAAACACTGAGCAATCTATACTATACATAAACAGCACAATTATTTACCGAAACGTCATCCTTAATAATTTACCGAAACGTCATCCTTACTTGGTGTTGGTACAAATTACCATTCGAAAACTTCTTGAGCGTTTCTTTTAACTACAAATGAAAAATAGTCGACGATGATTTTCTAACATTAATAACTGGAAGAACTCGTTAGAATAATGTTCTGATCATAAGAAGATGGAGAAGCAAGTGCTATAATGTTTCGGATTTAGTGAGTGGGTTCCAAAATTTTCATCTCAGTTTCGCAGGCTTTTCTTGATCTAACAATTAAAATAGATTTAAAATGGATAAGATTTGAAATTCTGTAGGTATGACAAACATTTTCAAAATAAATAACTAAAATACAACTGAAAGTAATTAACATCAAGATGAAACATGGTTAACTCTGGCGAAACGAGACACGTGTGTATTTCTTTCTTTTACACCCACTTTTTTAGCTGATGGATGATGATGATGCTAGGTTAACTCTGGCAAAACGTAGACGCTTATGTATTTATTTCTTTTACATCCACTTTTTTAGTTGATGGGTGATGATGCTAGGTTAACTCTGGCGAAACGAGACACGTGTGTATTTCTTTCTTTTAGATCCCATTTTTTAATTGATGGATGATGATGCTAGGTTAACTCTGGCGAAACGAGACACGTGTGTATTTCTTTATTTTACATATCCTTTTTTAACTGATGGATGATGATGCTAGGTTAACTCTGGCAAAACACCGACACACGTTTACTTTTTTCATCCCATTTGTAGCTGTGTTTTACTTCTTTATCAGAATGGATCGTTTAGGTAGAAGATATCTTGTTATAATGTTTTTCGATAGGAAAGAATACTATCAGAACTTGGTGATACAGTTAGTATTTTGTTTGTTTGTTTGAAGTTAAGCACAAAGCTACACAATGGGCTATCTGTGCTCTGCTCACTACGGGTATCGAAACCCGGTTTATAACGTTGTAAGTCCGCAGACATACCGCTGTGAAACTGGGGGGCTACAGTTAGTAACTGGAAGTACAAAGGCTGAGGCACGACCATTCTTAGTATACATCTGTATTTGATGCGATACCTGAGTCACGTACAAAGAATTGTTTGTGCTAATTTCTCTGTAACAGTTACTTCAGAACTCAGGTAGAGATAAACCAAGACATATACATGAAAGAACCATTGGGAAGGTTGCTTCAAGACATTCTGAAGTTGAGACAGTTTGGAGGCTAGGAATCAACCCACACTAAAGGTTCCTATCTGAACTTATTTCGTACAAGGAATAACTTAAAAGTGCGATGCATGTTAGAGCTGATTCACTTTGTATCACGCGACCGGACCTACTGTACGAAGAAATGTAACGTGTTGTGTTACTATGGTGACGTGTAGATAAACTATTTACTCAGCCCGTCTGATTGGATGTGTCCTAAAACCGGGTGTATATATATTTTTGAAATTAGCACAAACGTCATTAATAAAGTACACAATTACACGTTCTTCAGCAACACAAACGAGAAGAACCAAATCTGTCGACAAGTTAGCGCTGAAAGCATGTTCAACGATCCTGGTTAGAACCTAAAACTAAAGCTGGTTATATGAGGTATAGTCAGTTGAAATTTATAAAAGAATAACTCCATACGAGCGATATTATTTTATAAAACAAGAAGAGTTTGGCAAAATATTAAGGACTTGTTAGTCTGTGTAGTTTGGGTTCTTTTGAAAGTTTTCATAATGGGCTTATCGGGACTTGGTAATTAATAACTTGAAAAATGAAAAATATAAAACGCTGATGCTTGTGCTAAGGTTGATAGTTTATTAATACCTGATAAAGCGCCATCTGGACGACAATTGTATATATATATATATATATATATATATATATTCATGTCTCATTTTATTTCTTCATCTCTTCTTAATATACAGTTTTTGAAACGGAATCGTTTAAGAAATAAAACCGGACAAACATACACTGTTAAAGATCAGCCTCATATTTTTAAACACCGATATTCTAAAACTAGTTACTAGTAAACTAAACAGAACATTTATTTTACTCCAAACATTGCAACTTGCTTCAGCAGTTTCCTTCAATTAAGCCTACATGTTGTCTGCTAAATACACTTCAAGAACAAATACATAAGTAAAGTGTAATTTATTACTACCTACTTTTTAAAGAAATACTACTGAAATTAAATAGCATTTAAAAACTTACAATGTATTAGCTGGGGGTACCCGTCCCCTGGACGGAAGTTATGTAAATTCATGATTAATGAAAAGTTATATTAGGACATGAAAAGTTGCTTCCCTTATATGAAATTGTAAAAACTGCAAAACACAAAATGTGAAAAAGTAATTTTGTATGTGTCTCCCCATGGACCCAACAAACTTTCATGCAAATTTGGTGAAAATCCATCAACAGGGGCAAAGTAGTGGTAAAAAGCGCGAAAATACAAAAATGTCCATACAAACCGCAAAACGTAAAATGCAAAACAGGAAATTTGTGGGTATCTCCATATAATCTCAACAACCGTCCATGTAAAATTTGGTGAAGATCCATCTAAAGAGGGCGAAGTAGCGGTAAAAAACGCCCATAAAAACTGCAAAATGCAAAACTGAAAATTTGCATGTACCCCCCGCTTGACCATATCGAACCTCCATACCAATTTTGGTGAAGATCCATCCACACCCTGCGAAGTAGTTATATGGACATACAACAGACAGTACTATTATATTTATATAGATACTTATAGATAAACAAGATAAAATATCATATTAAATTATTAACTTGAAACTGAAAATTACTACTTTTTAAATATGCTGTCCTGGAATATCGGGGGTAACTTTCTTAATTTCGAAAGTTTTGACTTAAAGAGAATTCAAAACTAAAACTAACCATTATTTTACTTTTGAAGTGTGGTGTTTCATTTTAATAAAAGTATCTGTTAAATATTTCCAAGTATCTTATCGAAACCGTGATCTATATTGTTGTAATGGTTTTAAGAAGACGGCGGTTACAATAGACTAATTTTCGAAAAAAAGATAGTTTTTTTTTCGAATTAAAAAAATGTTTTTATTATTGAAAATAATAAGATGACCAGAGATTCTCAATAACGAAAACTGGGTAACACTAATTATAAATAGTAAACATATCAATTACCATAGAGAATAATAAAAAAAAAGTATAAAAATACGATGCTTACCTGTTGAACCCATACGTTAGTGGTCATAATTTGTTCTTTTAGATTCTACACAGAGAGAGAAATCATAATGTAGTTGTTATAATCAATTATACTAGTGGTTGTAAAAAAAACTTTGATCCAATTTAGGAACTAAAAACATGATTATTTCTAGACATGTTAGGATTTAATAAATAAATAAATTTAATGAATAAAATATAAATGATATTGATCCAATCAAACTCTCATATCCTTTGCCAGTGTTAGATTTTTTTATAGTGGTTTATAATTTGTAAAATATTAACTGTTAAAGTCTTCAAGACATAACCACCATTAATATGATAGATTTGTATCAGTAGTGAAGTCAAGAACTTGCCCTGTTAACAGTTAAATTATTCAGCACTAACACCGGTTTCTCAACTGAAAAAAGAAGGATGACATAAAGTTGGACAATATTTTTTTCATCTCAGATGTGTGGTATCACGTGTTTATATATTGAAGACTACGTTTATGACTAAATAATAAGAATATTATTAATTCAGAAGATGACATTAATCGCACAGTAGACTTGGGAATACATAACTATCATTTATATTTCATTGAAGATGTTTTTAACAAATATAAATATCACATTCATAAATTCTGACAAATCGACCATCTTTTAACCAGATATACAATTCGACACTTACTTACCAAAATATATCATAATAATGACAAGGTAGTTCCAGCCAATCAATACGCTTTGATGCCCAAATAAGGAACTTATGGCACACAGTTGTTGTTGCGAAACAAAATAAAAAACAAAAAAAAATAGGGGGGCGGGTTAGCTCTGAGGTAGTGCTCTGAATTTCGGAGTTGGCGAGTCGCGATCAAATCCTTACAATACCGTAAAATACCCCCTCCCATGCACGTTAAATTGTAGGTATGGTATAAGAGTGACGGTCAATCTTTTAGCATGGATGGTCAGTAAAAGGGTTCTTGTGACTGATTATCTTCCCACTGGTTCGTAGTTCAAAATTATGGATAGCTTTAGTATATTTGTCTTAAATACTCAAACACAGAATGTTTTTCGTAAACAATGACTTAGAAACATTTTTTTCATTTTCTTTATAGGATTCTCATCGTAGTTATATT